CACCGTTCTCCCACAAAATATTCAAATCTTCGATTAAAGGTTCCAAATATACGTCTATGTCATTTCCTGGTTGTTTAGGCCCAGAAATTAACATAGATAACATCATGTACTTACGCTTCATACATAGCCACAGAGGTAGGTTATAAATCATAAGAATTACAGGCCATGTGCTATGCGAGATACTTTGAATACCGTGTGGGTTCATTCCATCAGTAGACAATGCCAAGAGAAGGTTTCTTGCGTCTTTTCCAAATTCAGGATAATCATTATCAATTTTCATCCACTGTGGTGAATCTGCCGGATGTCGAAACTTTCCATCAACAATTCTTTCATCTGCATGCCAAGTTAAGTGTCTTAAATCGGTTTCACTACGATACATCCGTCTAAATCTCGGAATTATAGGAAAATACCATAAGACTTTTTCCGGAGACAACTTTTTCTTATATCGAGGGGCACCGCATTTAGGACACTCATTTAACGATGCATACTCGTTTCGAAACAAAACGCAATCTTTTGGACAGGCATGTATCTTGTCATAGCTCATGCCAATAGAGTACAACATCTTTTTGGCCTCATACTTTCGATTGGGGAGAACATTATCCTCTGGTAGCATATCTTTCATAAGGGCTAATAACTCTGTGAAACTTTTATCCGACCATCCATTGCCCGCCTTTAAAGTGTACAACTTTAATACCGCAGACAATCTTGTGAATTTTGTACAACCATTATACAACGGTTTCTCTGCATCGCTTACCAACCTCTCGAACATTTTGGGAGAATCATTAAGATCTTCTTCAAGCGCTTCTACAGTCTCTTCAACTCGATCATAATCGTATGTATCTGTGCCATTGTCGTTTGAAGCATAGGTCCTATTATCCCCCGATTCATCATTCCCGTCACTTTTCTCACCATGCATATTCCAACATGTATAACTTCTATCAATTCCATACCGTATTAGATGCGATGCCAACTGAACCGTGTCAACCCGATTCCTATAACAACAACACAAACAAGGACATGTCATTCGACCGGGGTCTTCGGCATGCGCAACAGCAAACTTAACGAATTCCGATACCCCGTTCTCGTACTCTTTCGACAATCAATTGGAATACATCCATGTCTTATCCATGGTTTACGGTTTCTGAGTCAATCTGAGCTAAATGATAAATTAGAAAACAAAACCAATACTCAAAACTTGCACTTGCTCTTGCACAACCATATAACAAAACCAATACTCAATACTTTTCACTAAATTCATTTTATTCTATCAACTAATCACATTTTATGATTACATCACTAATAACAATTCTTAACTCTCACAATTTTATATAAGCATGCATTATGTTACCTTAAAAAGTTGTTTTTGTTTCTTTGTCCATCTCATTAACAAGTTAATTAGTCACTTTACATCATCTCTAATTAAATATGCATATAGATATAGATATATAGATACATAATAATGAATGGTAATATGAAATGGGGAACCCCTTTTGTTAATTAATCATAATTTTCGCCACCGTTCACTAACACAAGACAACATCATTAGCACAACCCTCTACATGTCCGTTTCTTATATACTAGTACACCCTTGTTTCATCAAACTCAAGGGCTACCCTATACCAAACTTCATCTGTTTCTTATATATGGCATGGCCTCATTTTAGTCTAAGATATGTTTTCTGCTACGAAATTTTGTAATAAACAAAAAGGACAAAATATTTTGTATAGATTGAAAAGAAGAAACAATCACCTGACGGTTCTCCTGTGGCAAGCGGTTCTCCGGTGAGATATATGGCTCTTGTTTTCTGACGATTTGACACGTTTGAGTTCTCCGGTGAGATATGTTGCTCTGAATCGGAAGGTCCTGAAGAAGTTAAAGAAACCGATTAATTTCCAAAACACATTAAACAAACATCAAAAGACAGAGAGCCTTAATCGGGAATCACAACCTGCCGTCCAACTAGTGTGAGTGAGAAACACTAATTGTGCTTGCTAATCAATGAAACAAGAATTTTGTATGTCACTATGGCTTCCAAGAAAATATTCTGGGCCCGATTATTCAATAAACCCTCAATAAATTTTAAAACATAATCACCTAACACTAAACCGTCCATTGCTCCCAAAAAAAGGTAACAAAAAAATCATCAAAGGGTTTTAGGAAACATTTAAAAATCATCAAACAACAACAACAACCAATACACTGTGAATGATGAGGAAAATAATAATCAACGAAAACCTAAACTGATTTCAGAATACATAAATTAAATAATCGGTGCAGTTCGAGAGAGATTGAACCTTGTGAAGAGAGGGACGAGTCATGCGGCGGCGATGAGAGTTGACGATGGTGGCGATTGAACGGAAAGAGGCTACCGTGAGAGGACGAAGAAGGAACGAATTTGGGGGTTGGGTTGGAAGAAAGGAAACAAAACAACCACAATACGAACACACCTTTAATCAAAATCAATAAAATTTATTATAAAACAACCTACGAAAGCGCTTTTAAAAGCGCTTTCTAATGGTCATGTATAACAGCGCTTTTACATAAAAAAGCGCTTTCGTAGCATACCCTATAGCAGCGCTTTTAAAAGCGCTTTCTAAAGGCCAGATTTAGCAGCGCTTTGGAAAAGCGCTTTCTAAGGCTGGCCTTTAGCAGCGCTTTTGAAAAGCGCTTTCTTAAGGTACCCTCTGAAAGGCACCCTTTAGCAGCACTTCTCAAAAAGCGCTTTCTAAGGGTGACCTTTAGCAGCGCTTTTGAAAAGCGCTTTCTTAAGGAACCCTTTGAAAGCGCTTTTTTTAAGCGAATTTTTTTTAAAACCTACAGCAGCGCTTTTTCCTAAAAGCGCTTTCGTATGTGTGCTACTAAAGCTTATTTTTGGCGTAGTGTAAAGCTTCTAAACCTATGGTTGAGTCCCCAGTAAAGTCGTCAACTGTTGTAACTGGTTTTAAATTTGAGAGTCTCCACCTTTAAATTTTATCCTAAGGAAAGGAATATAAAGGATAACCCTAAAAGTTAGAGATTCTAGGTTTTTTGACTCGGTTTTAGACGAAGGAAAGGTGTTAGGCACCCCTCATCTACCTTGTTCACAAGGATACTAGGGTTAGAAGCGCAATTTTTAAGAAATAGGGTGTAACGGTAAAATCAATGAAGTCACCACCGAGTATTTATTTGTCCCATATAAAAGGGAAAGGAAAATCATCGAAGAAAAACCTAAAGGGGAAATCAAGGTCTTCCCTTTAGGTTTTTACCATGAAAAGAATTTTTGTATGATTAGCATTTCTTATATATTTGCCAAGAAAAAGAAGTTTTAGTTTTAAATGCAATTATGCAAAAACGGGAAGAAAACATCTAAGGGAGACTAACCTATCTCTAACCTAATGTTATCATACAATGAGGGATCCTATCTAAGTTAGCATACCAAAGAAAGTCTAGCAAAACTATCCTATAGGGAACATGCACTGAGAGCGAAGTCGTGATCTCAATTTCTAAATTGAGTGACTCATCGATCAACAAGAAATAAAGGAAAGCGATAAAATCCTATAGGGAGCATGCATTGAGAGTGAAGTCGTGATCTCAATTACTAAATTGAGTGACTCATCGATCAACAAGAAAGGAAGCAAACACAAGCACAACACATAACAGAAATAAAGTGCGGAATGCCTGCTACAGGTCTTTAAACAGCGACTTCGAGCGCACGCTCTTTATTTCCTACTTCTCATGATATCTATAAAAGTGATAAATGCGGAAATATAACTTGGAATAAGTATAATACCAAACGAACAATGACGTCCGCAAAAAGTGCAACCAAAGTAAAGAAGTATGAGATACTTCGTATGAGCTGGCATCAACAAACAAACAGTCAGAGTTCGAATATTTGGAATAGGTGTTGAAACTTCGTCGATGTGAAAATAAACTACAATCGGAATCCAAAACACATTCGCATACCAAATAATGAACCTGCATAAAACTCAGCTCAACTAACAAAGGTGAATCACAAATTTCAAATAATCGGATAACCATGAATTAATTCCTACAATCAAAAATGAGGAAAATCTAACAAATTTTTATATTTGACTTTATTATTTTTATCAAGTAAAGAAAAAATAAACAAACAAGTCTAAAAAATTGGCAAAATCATTTAAAAGAGCTCGCTAAAATAATAAACAACAAAAATAAATCTCAGAGGGTGCAAATTGAATGCAGGGGTAGTGTTCAACAAATTCCAAAAGCCCAATCAGTTTGAGTCCAACACCTCTTTTTTGTTCCAATTGCTTGCTTCACCAAAAAAAATGTAATTAGGGCCAAGAGAGTACCAAATCGGCCCAAGTCCACTAATGCCCCCAACATCAATTTTCAGCATTTTTTTATTATCGTTATTTTTTCTAATTATTCTGATAGTAATAAAATCCCATAGAAGGTTTGAAATGGCATAGTTTAGACCAAACGCACATCAAAACCTCATTTTTCCCTTCTTCTCGTTTTAACCTATCTCGCCTTTCAAAGCTTCAACAACCGTGTCGACGGCGCCCGTGGTGGTTTGCTGTCAAAAATAGCCAATAATCATGTCGATTGCTTCGTCTTCATCCTCTCAACCTATATCCAAACTTCTTTTTGTTCGATTTCCTTCGTATCGACCTAAATCTACAAGCTAAAACCCTAGGTTTCTTAACATTCAAATTGCAATGCTAACAACAATGAATATGACTACAAAACCTTGGGGGAAACGCTCTTACGACGCTAAACTATATTTTATAGCCGAAAATAAATGATACAAAGGGAGTCATAGCTTACCTCACGGCGGAGACTGAGGCTTCCGTACTCCGATGTTAGTACCAATGTTCAGATATGTCGTATTGTTCTGGATTCTTCTTCTTCTGTTTACTATTGCTTCTGTTTGCGTCTTCTTTTGCGACTCTTTGTGAAATTTGATGAAGCAGTAATGTCGCAACTCACTGTTACAGAGAGAAAGACGAGACTTGTGTGGCGCTTTTGTTGGAGAAGAGATGAATGAAACGACGAAGATGACGCAATTGCTTCAATTGTGCTGTGAGATGATGATAAAGTTACGGAGAATGATGCAGATTTGTGAGGTTTTGGATTTGGAGAGAAGGCGCAGAGAAGAGAAAGCAGAGAGAGAGAGAGAGAGATTTTTGTTTTCTTTGGTCGTGATTCCCCTCCGGAAATTGAAGAATGATGATGATTTAGAGAGCAATTCCTGAGTTTTTGTCATTCTTTTCCTGGTTGAAGAGTGATGAAGATGAAAGTTGAAGATGCAGGGAGAGAGAGGAATTTTCCGTGATTCCTCCAAGAGATTCCAGAATTTGTTTCTTGATCCTCTCCGGAAATTCTGTTAGAGGTTTGTTATGAGGGTTCTGAGTTTTTTTTTTCTGTTAGAGGTTACCACATTGTTAGAGGTGGTTAGGAAAACAGTTAGAGAGTTCATTTTTGGGAAATGAAGTTAGGGATTTTTATCAGTTAGAGGTTTTGGAATTAGCTTAGGTGGATAAGGCTGGGACTGAAGTAAGTTGACAAGTTTTTTATGTTGGTTATGAGAATTGAGTTAATATGTATGTTATGGTTATATCAGTTAGGGGTTGTTAAGTGTTAGTAGGATAACTTTGTGCTGACTAGTTAAAACAAAATGTTGGATGGAAATTGATGAGAGTTACTTGGTGAAAAGTAGAAATTTGAAGGTTACTAACAGAATATTAATTTGACAGGGGCGAGTCATTGTGCATTGCGGTTTCGAAATGTCATCTCTCAGTCTTAAATTTATGAATTTAATTGTTGAATTTGCATCTGTTTTGCAGGCCGTATGTTTTAAGCTGTTAAATTGGTGATGAAATGTTTCAGTTAAGGGATACACCACAACTCGTGGCTGTTTGAATTATTTTTGGCTACTTTGCAATGGTGCAGGTTTTTGATAGTTTTTTAATTTTGTACCTGAACTATGATATATTTCTCTGATTTATTGGACATGATGCCGAATGTAAATCGAGTCTGAGTGTGAAAATAAATTGCATTGTATTTTTCTGCTTTGACTCAAATTGGTATGCACTGATGATGATGACCCTTAACTAATTTTCTGGATGAATGTTAAATGTATTGCAGGCTGCTAAACTATTTTTCTAATTGAACTTGTGGACTGTTGAACTAAGCTATTTATTGTGTTTTTGAATACAGCAGGGCTGCCACGATTTGGATTCATGTTTGGTGCAGGCCTGTAACTGTTTTGATAGTTTGTGAAGGTGTAATATCGTGGTTTTTGAGGAAATCAAGTGAATTCTTATGAAGATAGCTTACAGAAAATGTAGATCGAAGGAAGTAAATTTTTTTTAGGACATTAGGATTATTCTTGAACAAAATTGATGTATTTCTTGGTATGGTGTAAAGGAATTGTGACGATGTAATGATTTTGAAAGTGTAGTGAGTCTTTCATTTTGTAATGAGGCGATTTGAAACACGAAAAATATTTTAAGAAATGCACCTCTCCATTGTTTCACTCTATTTTCATTTGAAAATTCCAAGTCTTTTCCTTTGGTTGTAGTTTTAATGGCCTTTGTAATGCCTTGCATCTTAGAAATGACATTGGACTTGAATCCCTCTTATTTTTCTTTAAGCTCTTGTGGATTTAGTAGCTTGTACGCCATGCTTGATGTTCGAAAACGCCACAAGAATATATCCACAAGGAATTGGATAAAAAATCAATCTTGAATTATGAAGAATTATGCTTTGTATGATCTTGAATAATGTCTTGAGTGAATAGAGGTCGTAGTGGTTGTACATGCCTTGAATATTTTACTTAGATGACAAGAAATCTTCATGAACAAAGTCCTCAATCTTGCATGCTTATAATCTTTGATAACCTCATAAGCAATGGCTTATATCTAGCAATTCAAACCACACGATATCTTGATCTTAAAACAAAATGAATGCTCTTAGGGAATCCCCGAAGATGAGTATGGAAAGAGGGTAATCAAGATGACTATGAAGTAAAACCTTAGCCCACTGAACTTTTGTTAAAGAACCATCCCCAGGCTCCAGCACGACGAATAATGTACTTCTCTTGTATCTTTCTCGTTTTGCTCCCTGTAATGCACTCCCCTAACATGTCTTGGCTTTTGGTATCTTGTATATTGACTTGTAAATTTAAGAAATAAAGTCCCTTTACCATTTCCTCCATTTTTTGCACGCTTTAAGTTCTGAATGTGACTCCCTCTTGAATGATGACTATTGGGCGAGTAAAATATCCAAAGTGATGCACTAAGTGGTTTATTTAGAAATATGATATTGATTTCTTCCTTGAACTATTGATTTTTTTTAATGAATCTTGACATTTTTGGATTGATGATTTGATGAATCTCGAATTCATATTTTAGATCCTCCTTGAATAATACTTGAATGAATCTTCCTTGAAGCCATATGGATGAATCTCCCGACCCTATCTTGAATCAACCATTAACAAAGTCATGAACTTAATAAGACCTTGAATTAATATTAATTCTGAGCACGATTAGAAGTTTCAATGAATCCAAGTCAATAGTCATTTCTCTCAGTAGTCCAAGTTAACTTGCAATTGAAGTAACAAGTATTTGATGAGAACCAAAAACTGTACCATTCAAAACAAGTCCACAGTGTTGAAGAAGGAGAAGCTCAAGATAACCACAAGATCGAGCCCTAATCCAATGATCCCCAGTTGAAGCATAATAGAAGAAAACCCTAATTCTTAAGCATTGAAGAAAGATTGCAACCTGATGCTGAGGAGAGAGAATATCCCTGTATAAATAAGTCTAGGAAATAAAATCCTAGTTCGAACAAATGATTGATGGAGAAATCAACCGAAATAAGCTTGTGCGAAGATAAGAGCCTTAAAGCCATACACCAAACCTAATTCCTCAAAATCCCTGATCCCAAGCCAAACTATTTACTAATGATGCATGATGCATCAGATGACCTAATGAAGGTTATGTACCTCAATCTCAATTAAATCCACAGATTATAGTCATCTTGCATTTGAAGCGACCAACCTCTATTTGATGAAATGAGCTGAATGAGCTCATAACCCATAGCTTACCCAACGGTACATATCTAAACTTGATAAAACTCAAAGCAATCTTTCAGTAATGGAAGAGTAGTGCTCAATGTAGCCTTGAAGTGAGACTTTAACTCAATAAACCTCCATAGAAGAATCACTACCAAGCTCAAACAAAATGAAGAGAAATCCTGATTCTCTGGCTGAGTTAGGCCCTAATACCTTTGCTCCTTGAAAGAACCTTGAATGAAGAAAAATTTGTATCTTGAGGAAACCTGATAGCGAAGACATCTATGCTGCTTGAGATCCAAAACCCTAATCTCATACCAAGATAAATGAGAGCGCCAGTTGAATCAATTTGGAGTAAGATAGAAAACTTAATTCATAGAGAGAAACCCTAATGCCAAAGTGCCCCGATCTTATAACCATGAGACCAATGCTATGTGCGAAATGTACAAAGTATGACGAGGGATCTTAGGGGAAAAAGTTGGGGCACAACAACTGCCCTTATTTAAGTGTCTTCTGTCCGGAGATACGAAGATTAAAATCTTCATTTCAACGTGATTGAAGATACTTAAATATAAAACAAACCCTATTTTTGGCCCTAAGATACCATACGATGCTTATGATTATGGATGTAACGTATGAATTTCATGCAGATAGGCAAGACACACACTAGAGAAGCAAAAGTAGAATCTACAAGTTGACAAAAGAATTCAACCAGGATAATAAATTTCTGGAGAACAACACGACTCCAGGGATAGAAATTTGAATCTATTGGAGACGAATTGGCCCTACTGGGGAAAAGAAAACTCAACTTCACTGGGGTAAGATCCAGAGAGGGGAAAAATATCATAGCCTCGAAAACTGAGAGAAAGGTAATGGATGACGACAATTAACCGATAGCTGCGAACTATCCACTCATAGTGGAGATAGAAAAAAGAGAGTAACATCAACACAGGGGATCGACAATCGCTAACCAGCAAAGATCAATCTTGCTTAAGAATGGTAATGAACTACCCACTCAAGAATGAAGGTAAAAAAACAAACATAGGACAATACTGACTTTTTTTGAAGGTAAAGAAACAGAAGATACACCAACGTTTACTGAAGGTAGAGAAAAGAGAATGCACCAGCTTTTACTGAAGGTGATGTCTCAAAGAGTAATAACGAACTTCCCAAAATTCAGGCGTTCTTCCTAGAAAGAGTAAAAATATAAGTTATCTCAAATAAAGAGACTACAACTTGTAAAGATTTCACAACAAACTTATCTTGAGAAACTTCCTCGAAGAGATACCATTTGATGGAGAATCAAATAAACTTCCCCTTGATCCTGACTATAAGCCACGAATTGGTCTCAGTTTCTTCTTTAACCAAGATGTTTCACCTGGAAAGGGTTAAAACACAAGCTATCTCAAATAAAGAGACTACCACTTGTAAAGATTTCACAACAAAATTCTCTTGTGAAACTTCCTCGAAGAGATACCATTTGATGGAGAATCAGATAAAATTCCCCTCGATCCCGACTATAAGCCACGAACTGGTCTCAGTTTCTTCTTTAACCAAGATATTTCACCTGGAAAGGGTTAAAACACAAGCTATCTCAAATAAAGAGACTACCACTTGTAAATATTTCACAACAAACTTCTCTTGCGAAACTTCCTCGAAGAGATACCATTTGATGGAGAATCAGAAAAACTTCCCCTCGATCCCGACTATACGCCACGAACTGGTCTCAATTTTTCTTTAACCAAGATATTTCACCTGGAAAGGGTAAAAATACAAGCTATCTCAAATAAAGAGACTACCACTTGTAAAGATTTCTCAACAAACTTCTCTTGCAAAACTTCCTCGAAGAGATACCATTTGATGGAGAATCAGATAAACTTCCCCTCGATCCTGACTATACGCCACGAACTGGTCTCAGTTTCTTGTTTAACCAAGATATTTCACCTGGAAAGGGTAAAAATACAAGCTATCTCAAATAAAGAGACTACCACTTGTAAAGATTTCTCAACAAACATCTCTTGCAAAAATTCCTCGAAGAGATACCATTTTATGGAGAATCAGATAAACTTCCCCTTGATCCCGACTATAAGCCACGAAATGGTCTCAGTTTCTTCTTTAACCAAGATATTTCACCTGGAAAGGGTAAAAATATAGCTGTAGGAATCTTTCAACAAACTGTCTTTATCATTGAAGTACAACCAAACTCAACAATGAACTATCTCCCATAATGACGAGACTACCATTCATTGAAAAAAAATTCTCTGGCATTAACAGACTTACTAGGAAGAACAGGTCGCTCAAATAAAGAGAACCGCCGCTTGCCATTTTAAGAAGGAATTGTAATAAGACTGGCGAGAAAAGAAGCTTGATTTCCTGGGGAAATACCAATACATTCCTGTTGAGGAGAAAAAACTTTTTCGTGCAAAATAAATGCACATTCTCAAATCAAGGCTCGAAGCCTGCAGAAATCAGAAAGATAATGTTGTCGGGGACTACAGACTCAAACCAGAAATAAACTGGGATGGAATAATCAACCAAGTCAGCACCCGATGAGAAATAAACTCAAAAGGGGATCACACTCCATCCCGATAATGAACTAAATAGGAAGGCTGAAGCAAAATTCTTCCACGAGGGATAACTCAGTGGGGAAATTGAAAGGACATACACTTTCTGTTCAACATTGACAACACTATTAGAGAGAGAGAGTAACATAACTTTAAATGAGTGATGAATTTTAAATCTATGCATGATGTGTATGAATGTATGGATGCTATCATGCGCATGCTGACAAAACAACAACATTGCACTAGGGATAACCAGACAAATCTAATCTTGGGTGAAGACAACACTCGGCCAAGTCACATACAGAATGAAGATTAGATTCCACGAGAGGGTAAGCATCAACAGAGGAAACAAAGTCCTATTTCAAGGCTTAACTTCACTGGGAAAAACATGGCTTGAAAACAATCAAAGAACCACCTGACTAGCAACAAATAAAGTTGCGGGAATAACATAAATTCTTCTATGTCTCACCGAGGAATACCAGTACGGACTTTGATAATGGAAGAGGAAGCTTTATTGTCTAGACTTCACTGGAGATTCCAAAACTAACTTCACTAGGGGAAGATGAAAGCCATGCCATCGAGACTTCAACTGGGGATGTCAATACGGACTTTACCGGGGAAGATGCAAAACCATATCGTTGATACTTCAACTGGGGATTGTTATGCTAACTTCATTAGGGAAAAGGAAGCCACACACACCAATAAGAGCCTAGATACAGTCTTCAATAACAAGCATAATAGTTGTGTAAAATTCTCTGGAGAGAGATCATGGAACTTCATGGGATAACAACTTCAGAGGGAAGTATCATATTCGACACATCTGGAGAATTAAGAAGTTGACAACACCAATAATGGGTCATCTCATGGGGATTTTAAATCAAACTCAGCACATAGCGAGAGAAAACCCAAGGAGTAGACACTTATCTCAAAACTTCTTAGAATGTATATTGCCCTTGTCTGGTTGCTTAGA